AACTCTCGACCTGAGCGCCATGCATTGACTGCACAGGTTAGCGTGACGGAGAAACCGAAGGATGCTTTCATGAATGCAGAGTGTAGCAAAGCTGACCAGCCGCATAGTTCTGAAATAGCCACTGAAGCCAAGCATGTCGTTGGAGTCTGCGAACGTACCGATAGCCCATACAGCAAGTCAACTGCAGCCAAAGAAGTCCTAACCCACCATGCACAAAACAGATCCTGATATACACCGCAGCCTCATCTCAAAGCGCGAACACTAGCCGGGCCACAGACGCTGACTACCCGCCGGCAAGGCTGGCATCGCTGCGAACTCGAGCTACAAAGCGTGCAAGCAAAACGCCATCAGCATGCAGTTTGTCTGCAGATGGGCAACAACATCAGCTACCACGACGAGTTCGACGGCTCGCCATTCAAAGCGAGGACTGAAAATTGACAGCGATGCAACAGTCACAATGCACGTCTGCATGTTCCCATTCATACGAAAGGGCCGACGGACAGTGGTGGTGGAGAAGACTCGGCTGCAATCCAGGTGACTCGGCTGCAAGTCCCAGCTGGAAAGCTTATCGCCAACCAATTAAGGAGAATCCAGATAAAACTCGACTGCAAGTCCCAGCTTTCCTATCGCCAACCAATTAAGGAGAATCCAGGTTACTCGGCTGCAAGTCCCAGCTGGACAGCTTATCGCCAACCAATTAAGGAGAATCCAGGTGACTCGGCTGCAAGTCCCAGCTGGAAAGCTTATCGCCAACCAATTAAGGAGAATCCAGGCAAGTCCCAACTGGAAAGCTTATCGCCAACCAATTAAGGAGAATTCAGGTGACTCGGCTGCAAGTCCCAGCTGGAAAGCTTATCGCCAACCACTTAAGGAGCATCCAGGTGACTCGGCTGCAAGTCCCAGCTGGAAAGTTTATCGCCAACCAATTAAGGAGAATCCAGGTGACTCGGCTGCAAATCCCAGCTGGAAAGCTTATCGCAAACCAATTAAGGGGGATCCAGGTGACTCGGCAGCAAGTTGCAGCTGGAAAGCTTATCGCCAACCAATTAAGGAGAATCCAGGTGACTCGGCTGCAAGTCCCATCTGGAAAGCTTAAGCTTATCGCCAACCAATTAAGGAGAATCCCGGGGACTCGACTGCAAGTCCCAGCTGGACAGCTTATCGCCAACCAATTAAGGAGAATCCAGGTGACTCGGCTGCAAATCCCAGCTGGAAAGCTTATCGCCAACCATTCAGGAGAATCCAGGACCAGCTGGAAAGCTTATCGCCAACCAATTAAGGAGAATCCAGTTGACTCGGCTGCAAGTCCAGCTGGAAAGCTTATCGCCAACCAATTTAGGAGATCCAGGTGACTCGGCTGCAAGTCCCAGCTGGAAAGCTTATCGCCAACCGATTCAAGAGAATCCAGGTGACTCTGCTGCAAATTAAGGAGAATCCAGGTGACTCGGCTGCAAGTCCCAGCTGGAAAGCTTAAGCTTATCGCCAACCAATTAAGGAGAATCCCGGGGACTCGACTGCAAGTCCCAGCTGGACAGCTTATCGCCAACCAATTCAGGAGAATCCAGGTGACTCGGCTGCAAGTCCCAGCTGGAAAGCTTATCGCCAACCAATTAAGGAGAATCCAGGTGACTCGGAAGCAAGTCCCAGCTGGAAAGCTTATCGCCAAGCAATTAAGGAGAATCCAGGTGACTCGGCTGCAAGTCCCAGCTGGAAAGCTTATCGCCAACCAATTAAGGAGAATCCAGGTGACTCGGCTGCAAGTCCCAGCTGAAACGCTTATCGCCAACCAATCACAGAGAAGCCAGGTGACTCGGCTGCAGGTCCCAGCTGGAAAGCGTCGCCAACCAATTAAGGAGAATCGGCTGCAAGTCCCAGCTGGAAAGCTTATCGCCAACCAATTAAGGAGAATCCAGGTGACTCGGCTGCAAGTCCCAGTGCCAGCTTATCGCCAACCAATTAAGGAGAATCGAGGTGACTCGGCTGCAAGTCCCAGTGCCAGCTTATCGCCAACCAATTAAGGAGCATCCGGATGACTCGGCTGCAAGTCTCAGCTGGAAAGCTCATCGCCAACCAAGTAAGGAGAATGCATGACGCAGCAACCTTTCTGCTCACGACAAGCGCACCTATAGCCCGGCATCGCCCCACGATCTCGCTTCGTCGCGCATACATCGCCAGGAGCTTGGATCTCGTGGTACGGCATCGGAACCGAGCCTCAACACGCATTCCCTAGCTCGCCAGATGGGCAACTTCGCATCGATCGACTGCGAAGACCAGACCGGCACGCCATTCAAGTGCAGGCCGGCAGTAGATGCACCGAGCAAACATGAGCCCGAAACATGTGCCATAGCCCGGGAGGTCAGACGGGAGTTGGTGGTGGTGGCACAGCGGCCACTGGTACACCTACGTCGCCGAGCCCGCACAGACGCACACAGAGAAAGAAGTCACTGCTTTCATCCCTCCTCTACAGGAGGAGACCTGCCATGGCGCCGCCCAATTGGGTTGGTGCCGATGGTCACCGGGTCTTGGTGGCTTGGACTTCAACGTCCCGAGCTGAGAACCAGTGCCGTATCAGCACAACTACAACGCGCTGCCCGCTCGAACACACGGCGTACCAAGGATTTTTGGCCCGACTATCGCTACCAGTGAAGTCGATGCTTGGATCCCAAACCCAGCCTCCACCAAAGAAAGCAAGACACCGACAGAACTCATACAAGCTCCGCGCCCTAACGCCCATGTGCCCCTGTGCCCGCCGAGGACCAACCGCTGCGGGCGTCGCGCGGACAGATTTCTTCTCCGCCCTGGCGGATCGATAAAAGGGGGAAGCAGGACAGCACAGAAGACCGAGCAATGCGAGTGCGTGCAGGGGCAAGATACGAGGGTCCAGAGGCCCCGAACCACATAAAGCAGAGCTCAACAGACGTTGTCGCTTGCCACAGCCTTTTGCTCAAGAGATTTTGTTCAAGAAATCATGGTGCTTGGCCGAGCAGAGGCCGGAAAGGGAGAAGTTGTAGTGTAGTTGCGAGACTGATCGTGACATTTACCCCCGATTGCCCGAATCAGAGCGGCTCGGTGCTCCAGGCAGAGTGGCCGCACTTCGTCTTCACCTGCCACTTCACCTGGGAGGCCGGCTGCGTTGTGGCCTTCCGGTACCTGAGCGGTACGCTTCTCGGCGTTGGTCGCTGGAAGGCTCCGACCTCGGGCACGAAGATTGCGCGAATGCCTGTCCATCATGCGCGAACCACAGCTAGCTTTACACAGGAACTCGACGACGTGTGCGGCGGCGACCTTAAACTGGAAGCAGAGAGCATCCTCCGACGACGAGAACTCGCACCGGACTCGTGTTTCAACATCACGCTCCTGCACAACCGCACGATCGTCACGGACAAGGTCAGACTTTCAGGCGCGCACCTATCACACACCGTTCGCCCACAAAAAGCTTCCCGCACAGCAGGCCGCTGTGTTATACGAATTCTAGCCTGCTCGCAGGCCCCGAAGTGTTCCTGAACCGGCCGAAGGCGGTGAGAGCCACGCACAAGATGAGTTTCACAGAATGGCTTTATCGCTGCCAGCTTGCCGAGCTACAGAAGCAAAACATGACACACACCGAGTTCCAGAGAGCAGGACAGTACCAGAGACTAAGGACGTATGCAAGTGCATGCACCCAACATGCCATGAACTCAGCCAAGCCAGACAAACCCGGATAAGCACTCGGCTCAAGCCACTAGAAAAGAAGCTAGCAGCCGTTCCCATCCACTCGACAAGGCGACGGCCTACAGTAAAGGCGTCAAGCGAGCAGCCCCGGGTACAGGACGAAGAGACGGCAATGTTAAGCCCCGTCCCTAGATTATTGGACCACAAGCATGGGCCATCGATTCACACACGCAAAAGGCAACAGCCGTGACAGCATCGCGGAGCTGGTGCAGCGGTTTTGCGACCTGCCTGGGTGCACCAAGACCAAGGCCGGGGCGCTCGAGGCAGCATGCATGGCAATGAGTGGAAAGCGCGGTCGGGCAGTTGAAGCACCATCTCGGCAGCGATGGGCCGTCAGACCAGTTGGCGCTGGCAAATCACCCGCTGCGGATGGAGGCGGGCCCCGTCACGAATCAGGAACCTTTACATAAACGCAAGCTGCTTCAGGCCCGAGAACTGGCGGATCGCGTTGCCCGGCGAATCTTGGAGGCCCGGCCCGCGAAAGCAAGAACAGTAGAACGGCAACCCCCGCATTGCCCAGGAGTTTACGATGGAGGACACAAGGGTACGTTGCCGAGCCCTCCTGTTCGAGGTAATGCACTTCCTCCGAGTTGCGACCCCAGCAAGCAAAGCATCCACACCAGTTAGGCAAGGATACGGTATACGCGAGCCGAGGTGCCGCCGCTTCCACCGGACATCGCGAACCAATTGCAGTTCGCGATGAGCAAGCAGGCACGTCAGCCGCAGGTCCCAGAAAATCAAGTTCACGCCGCTGTCGCCTGCCAGATGGAAGCAAAGACAGCACCGTGGGCTGCGGATGTTCCCCTTCCGTGGAGACTCATCGCGCCTCGCCCTCGGCGCCATGCAGACATCCCCTTCCCTCCGAACGCAGCATAGAGCACGCTCCCCCCCTTCCCCTTCCCTCCCCACGACAGGGTGGACATCTGGCCGGAATACCACTACTATCACCAATGAGTTCGCTGCTGGCAGCCCAGCTCCAGCTTCCACAGAGCACAGCAAGGCACCAACGATCCCCATGAGGGCTCCGAGCTCGGAAGCCAGTGTGCCTGAAGCTCCGCTGAGGTCCAGCTGCTGCCAGTACAAAGAACTTCCGATTTTGCTCAAGAACTCTGGGCACTACGTGAGCTAGCTGAACCAACTAGAATAGGACCGGTGCTGCTCGCGCGCTAATCGGAGGAAAAGGAAGCCAGTGAACGTTGTCTGGAGTGGTGCCTTCTTCACTGTTTCAGCCTGGGGTAGAAGACGACGGAGGCGGGGACGAGGCCGGAGCCCTTATCCTCAACAGGTGCATGGTTTCAACCTGGAAAGAAGACGAAAGAAGGGGCAAGGCCGGAGAGCTTATCCTCAACCAAGATGGGTTCCTAGGTGCGTGGTCCCAAGTGCGTGGTCCCAACCTGGGAAGAAGACGGAGGCCGGGTCAAGGCCGGAGGGCTTACCCTCAACCAATACGCGGTCCCGGCTGCGTGGTCCCCGCCCAGCGCTGCACGGTCTCAACCTTACGAAGTCGGAGACCGGGACAGGACCGGAGAACACACCCTCAACAAATATGGGCCCCAGGTGCGTGCTCCCAAGCGCGAGGCCTGAACCTCACAAAGACGGAGGCCGGGACCAGTATACAGATTAACGTCCTGCACGGAACGCTAAACGTGTATATTCGATGTGTAGGACCTTCGTAGACCTATTTGCCCGCCGACACATGACTACGCAAGAGCAGTTCATAAATTCATAAATCGTCGTGATCGAGATATCGCACAGTCAGCTACGCACGCATGTTCCTGCCTAGTTGGATCATGGACCGGTGGCTTCAAAAGGAAAGCAACTGAGCCTGTGGCACAGCTGCAACTGGGGCTCAGGCGTGCGGTACCAACCAGTAGTTCCAGCAGCTCGACGCGATGGATACACCAATACTCTTCGGTGCTTTAATCTGCACTTGCCGGGCAGCAGCAAAGAAATGGACACGCCTACCCCACAACCTCAAGCTGGCCATTTCAAAGTTCACGAGAGGTTCGGATTGGGCACTGAGGCTAGGGCACCTAGCGCTGATTGGTGCACTCTCCAGGTACCCGATGTTGGCTTCGAGAATCGCAGATGATTTTGACTTTGGACGGCGACTCCAATACTTCTCAGTCCAAGATCTACAAGGACTCCCGAGAAACACCAAGAAGACTATCCGTCTCTGCATCACGAACCTTTGGGCTTTCGAGAAGAAGAAAATGCAGAAAGAGAAGATGGAGCTCCGGAAGCAGAAGCAAGAGGAACTCCGGAAACAGAAGCATGAAGCAGCAAAGATCGTGGCCGAGCGCGCAGCTGAAGCCCTAACAATGCTCAGGGAACATGTTCGCTGTAAGACACCTAGCTGAAGAGCATTGTTTCACACGTCACGCATCGATGACACGGAAGAAAGGTGAGTTGCGAGAATACGTAGATCGTCTTACGTCCTGTCCGGTGACCTTATCTGCAACCAGAATGGGACTGCAAGGCCTGCCAGCTCAATCAGTGCGCTGCTTCACCGCCTCCGACCAGCCGACAGTTCTCGATCGAGGCAACGAGGCAAGGTGAACTCATTCAACGTATTCATCCACCCTTCAACCTCGAGCAATACGGTGCCCCAGGTGTATGGTCTCAACCTCGAGAAAACGGAGTCCGGGAAACCGGAGGACTTATCCTCGACCAACATGGGGTCCCAGTCCAGGACGAGGCCGGAGGGCTTATTCATACGAGGCCCGGGCGCGTGGTCCCCGCCCAGGTGCATGGTCTCGACCTTACGAAGTCGGAGGCAAGGACAAGGCCGGAGCGCTTATCTTCAACCAATATGGCGTCCGAGAGGTGTGGTCTCAACCTCAGGAAAACAGGCCGGGGACGGCGACGGAGGGCTTATCCTCAACCAACATGGGGTCCCAGTCCGGGACGAGGCCGGAGGGCTTATCCTCAACCAATATGGCATATGGGGTCCCGGGTGCGCGGTCCCCGCCCAGGTGCATGGTCTCAACTTTACGAAGTCGGAGGCAAGGACAAGGCCTGAGCGCTTATCCTCAACCCCTATGGGGTCCGAGGAGTGTGGTCTTAACCTCAAGAAAGCACGCCGCGGACGACGACGGAGGCTTATCCTCAACCAACATGGGGTCCCAGTCCGGGACGAGGCTGGAGGGCATATCCTCAACCCAAATAATCTCCCAGTCCGGGACGAGAGGGCTTATCCTCAACCAATATGGGGTCCCAGGTGCGTGGCCTCAAAGCCGAAGGAGCAGAGTCTGGGACAAGGCCGGGGGCTTATCCTCGACAATTATAGGGTGTCAGTCCGGGACAAGGCCGGAGGGCTTGTCCTCAACCAATGTGGGGTCCCAGGCGTGTGGTTTCAAAGCTGGAAGAGACGGAGTCCGGGACAAGGCCGGAGGGCTTATCCTTAACCAATATGGGGTCCCAGTCACGGGGCCAGCAGCCTTATCCCGACCAATATGGGGTGCCAGATGCGCAGTCCCCGCCCAGGTGCATAGTCTCTGCCTTACGAAGTCGCAGCCAATGACGAGGCCGGTGCGCTTATCCTTGACCAGTGTAGAGGCCCAGGCACGCGGTCCCCGCCCGGGTGCGTAATCTCAACCTTCGGAAGTCCGAGGCAAGGACAAGGCCGGAGCGCGTATCCTCAACCAATATGGGGTGCCAGGTCCGCGGACTCAACCTTGTGGTCCCAGGTGCATCTGAAGGATGAAGACGGTCGGCGTTTGGGCCGGACGAGATGAAAAAAGCAGGATCGGGCATACTAAACTCCCTTCTCATCCGGCAATGGGCTCGAGTCACTTTATCGTAGGCGCAAACGCGGACAGTATGCTTAAGCGGCAGAACACGGCCAGAAGATGAGCTGCCTTCGACGCAGACGACTGTATCTCTAGATTTAATGGTCCGCAGTCATCCCGGCGTTTGATCTCCTGTGTCCGCAGCGCTTACAGGTCTCCAAACTCAAGCACCCCTGCAAAGTTCCGACTCCCCTTGCCGCCTTTCTGCGATGGTCGCCGTCCGCTTTTTGAAATGGACGCTCACCTACGAGCATATATCAGGCGAGATTTTAGTATGGAAGCCAAGTGCACGCAACCCCTCCCCACTTCTGTTCCGGGCAGGCACCGAAGGACGCCGCGGCCTCGGGACAACCTGCGCACTAATGCACGCACTAGAAACAGTAGCCTGCCTGCCAGTCAACCTGAGACCGAGGTGTATGCCGGAAGAAGGAAGTTTTACATTTGTACGCGATCATCGGGCCTTTGACCTCCTGCAGGCTCGATTCAGATGCCGGAAGGAGTGACAAGCAGCCGAATACGCGCAGGCGTGTTGTCTTCACGACGCCAGCACAGCAGACGTCCGATGTACACGGAGGCTGGGCGCTAAAGCAAGTGGCTGGCTTCGGAGTACTCGAAGTGGGCTTCAACTGTCGGGGCTCTCGCGGCCGCAACATCTGGCTGGCACTGGTGGCAGGCCGGATCTACCAGTGTCGCATCGGAAGCACGACATACAAAACGCATGCCCCGACCTTCAGGACCGGACGGCATCTTCTTCGGTGCGCATCAGAACGGATGGGACTACGTGCGAGCAACGAGCGTGTCCGTCGACTGGTACGACATTCCCGTGACCTCGGGCCTCGAATATGGAGCAATGCCGTAGCCAAACGCGTCGGACAAAGCTGATAGCCCGTTGCAAAGAAAGAGTCGTCACTATCACCTGCAGTAGTTCTGCCCGGTACCGACGTTGTCGGAACTGAAATTCCGCCAAACAGATAAGGGATGACAAGAGAAGGCTAATTTAGGCTCAATCAGCGAAGTTGACATAACGCAGTGTTACAGGCTGTTAGTCGCATTCCGCCCGCGCGCCAGGCTCAGCCCAGAACCATGAACAGTAGGCCTCGTCATGGCAAACGCTCCAAGGGCATGGTCCCGCCAGCCCGGGCTACTATCCGTTCGGTAGCAGGCCAACGGAATCGCTGCCACGCGGGAGGGATGCATATGAAAACAACCGAGACAGTCGGTCGGATGGATATCCCACCAGGAGCAGTGGGATGCAAGGACAGCACCGACTCCATTCACCTGGACAAGGCTAGACTGCATAGAGGATAGCGCGGTAACACGACATGGAGAACGTCAAAGGCTTCCGTGCCAAAGCCGACCATGTCACCGAAGGCGAGCATGTGTTTGTTGTATCCAGCTTAGCGAACATGTGCAGGAATATTGCAGGAATACACAAGCCTGCCTACTGCCAGGCTTTCGCACTATGTGCCCTTAGAGCGGCCAAAGCCTCGGCCATCACAGAAGGCGCGCTGCCCCAGTTATTCTTCTGCTCCGGCGAGTTTCGACCATGGATGTTCCATCCACCGAGGCACGACGCATATGCACTTTGATCAAGGACTCAAACACAGCTGAGGCGAGGCGTAAGCGGCGCGTATCCACATCGTGCGTGCGTATTGACTTGGCTTGCAGGCACCGGCAACAGTGAGGGTGTGGCAGAAACCAGTACACGGCCGGTACCTGCCGGTACCTGCTCAGTGGAGGTGCTGGCAAAAGCCAGTCAACGGCCGATACATACCAGTGCCGGCCCACTGGAAGTGTCCGGGCTGTCGCATTGAGCACCCTATCACCGAGTAGAGCACCCACGGACGAAGTGTTTCACAGCAAGACAGACGCCAGCCGCGATAGGGGTGTGGGTATAAAGAGGACCTGCTGCCGACAACGCGCGGCTACCTGGCCACAGAAGCCTCCAGCGCATCACACGACATCCGTATGAGGAGAAACGGACGATGTGCACGGCCCGCAGCGGCTCCAACTGTGTGCATTACTCAGTGTCTACACAACACCTTTCTTGAAACCGTGAGCGCCGGAAACTGTGGGTAAAAGAATTGCACGTTGACGCCTACAACACCAGGACGCTGCATCCTGTTTCTAGAGCAGTGTCACTTCATGCCATTGACCGCAGCCACGGAATCATCGAGATCCAAAGTGTCGGCACCAGTTACCGTGCAAGCACACGGCATGCCGGACAATCACGGACCCAGCAGTACGGGAATTTCGACGGGGATCCAGCCAGGCTCGGCCTCCACATGTACGCTGATCACATGACCGCGAAGTGACAGAGTGGAACGCACGTCAGGTACTCCGGACAGTGAAAAGCTAATTGACTTGGCCTTCGGGAAGACCACGTATGCGCTGAAGATTCGCCCGGCATGGCTGCAGCAGATACTCGCAGGCGCGGAACCTCGAACACGACACACTCAGTGCAGCAGCTCCAGCTAGGACTACAAGACCCGCTGCAGGAACGAAAACGATCGAGCTCCGAAAGAAGCCATGCCCAACCTACCTAGAGACACACGCCATCAGCCTCATGGAGACAGGGACTAGGCTTATTCGCGGCACGGCCGTCGTCAAGGAATCGCACCAGCTCACGGTCCAGGAGAAAGACACTTTTGCGGATGTCCTGCAGGCACACAGCCTTGCGTCGCACAAGCAAAACCTGTTGTCCGTGCTTGCAGGCACTCAACTACGATGCTGACAAAACCTATGCGTGGACCCTGCAAGACGTCCAGCAGCATCGAAAACCGTTTCAGGCCTGTATTACCGCATACCAGCACACGGCACCTGCATGCGAGAAGGTGCCGTCGTGGGCAGCGAGGGGTGCTGTGGTCTGGCTACGACGTGAGCACTGCCTGCGCATGGCTCGCATGCCTGTAGAGATACGGAAAAGGCCGAGCAAGCGCAAGCGCAAACGCTCCACGAGTCTCACCTTTTCATGAAGAAACGTCTGTTGCAGCAGAGAAACGGCGCAGCTTGTGCACGTACCCTTGCTCGCACAGTATGCCGAGTCATCCAAACTCCAGTCTCGAAATTCCGCCGTGTCGCGCCGAGGAGGCTCAGGAGAACGTCGTAGTGCCCAACAAGTGTACAAGCCACAATTTCGATGGTCCTAGGCGTGTGGTCTTGCTCTCATGAAGACGGAGGACGGGCTTATCCTTAATCATTACGGGGTCCTTAATCCGTGGTCCCAGAAAGATGGAAGCCAGGACAAGGCCGGCGGCTTAGTCCCAGCATGTGGTCTCGCTCTTATGACGACAAAGGCCGGGAACAAGACGGAGGCCGGGCTTATCTTCAACCAATATGGGTCCAGCTAAGTCCCTGCTAGAAAGCTTATCGCCAACCAATTAAGGAGAGTCCAGGTGACTCGGCTGCAAGTCCGAGCTGGAAAGCTTATCGCCAACCAATTCAGGAGAATCCAGGTGACTCGGCTGCAAGTCCCAGCTGGAAAGCTTATCGCCAACCAATTAAGGAGAATCCAGGTGACTCGGCTGCAAGTCCCAGCTGGAAAGCTTATCGCCAACCAATTAAGGAGAATCCAGGTGACTCGGCTGCAAATCCCAGCTGAAAAGCTTATCGCCAACCAATTAAGGAGAATCCAGGTGACTCGGAAGCAAGTCCCAGGTTGAAAGCTTATCGCCAACCAGTTAAGGAGAATCCAAGTGACTCGGCTGCAAGTCCCAGCTGAAAAGCTTATCGCCAACCAATTAAGGAGAATCCAGGTGACTCGGCTGCAAGTCCCAGCTGGAAAGCTTATCGCCAACCAATTAGGGAGAATCCACGTGACTCGGCTGCATGTCCCAGCTGGAAAGCTTGTCGCCAACCAATGAAGGAGAATCCATGTGACTCGGCTGCAAGTCCCAGCTGGAAAGCTTATCGCCAACCAATTAAGGGGAATCCAGGTGACTCGGCTGCAAGCCCCACCTGGAAAGCTTATCGCCAACCAATTCGGCTGCAAGTCCCAGCTGGAAAGCTTATCGCCAACCAATTAAGGAAAAGCCAGGTGACTCGGCTGCAAGTCCCAGCTGAAAAGCTTATCGCCAACCAGTTAAGGAGAATCCAGGTGACTCGGCTGCAAGTCCCAGCTGAAAAGCTTATCGCCAACCAATTAAGGAGAATCCAGGTGACTCGGCTGCACGCCCCAGCTGGAAAGCTTGTCGCCAACCAGTTAAGGAGAATCCAAGTGACTCGGCTGCAAGTCCCAGCTGGAAAGCTTATCGCCAACCAATTAAGGAGAATCCAGGTGACTCGACTGCAAGTCCCAGCTGGAAAGCTTATCGCCAACCAATTAAGGAGAATCCAGGTGACTCGGCTGCAAGTCCCAGCTGGAAAGCTTATCGCCAACCAATGAAGGAGAATCCAGGTGACTCGGCTGCAAGTCCCAGCTGGAAAGCTTATCGCCAACCAATTAAGGAGAATCCAGGTGACTCGGCTGCAAGTCCCAGCTGGAAAGCTTATCGCCAACCAATTAAGGAAAATCCAGGTGACTCGGCTGCAAGTCCCAGCTGGAAAGCTTATCGCCAACCAATTAAGGAAAATCCAGGTGACTCGGCTGCAAATCCCAGCTGGAAAGCTTATCGCCAAGCAATTAAGGAGAATCCAGGTGACTCGGCTGCAAGCCCCAGCTGGAAAACTTATCGCCAGCCAATTATGGAGAATCCAGGTGACTCGAGGTGACTCGGCTGCAAGTCCCAGCTGGAAAGCTTATCGCCAACCAACCAACCGATTAAGGAGAAGCCAGGTGACTCGGCTGCGAGTCCCAGCTGGAAAACTTATCGCCAACCAATGAAGGAGAGTCCAGGTGACTCGGCTGCAAGTGCCAGCTGGAAAGCTTATCGACAACCAATTCAAGAGAATCCAGGTGACTCGGCTGCAAGTCCCACCTGGAAAGCTTATCGCCAACCAATTAAGGGGAATCCAAGTGACTCGGCTGCAAGTCCCAGCTGGAAAGCTTATCGCCAACCAATTAAGGAGAATCCAGGTGACTCGGCTGCAAGTCCCAGCTGGAAAGCTTATCGCCAACCAATTAAGGAGAATCCAGGTGACTCGGCTGCAAGTCCCAGCTGGAAAGCTTATCGCCAACCAATTAGGGAGAATCCAGGTGACTCGGCTGCAAATCCCAGCTGAAAAGCTTATCGCCAACCAATTAAGGAGAATCCAGGTGACTCGAGGTGACTCGGCTGCAAGTCCCAGCTGGAAAGCTTATCGCCAACCAGTTAAGGAGAATCCAGGTGACTCGGCTGCAAGTCCCAGCTGAAAAGCTTAACGCCAACCAATTAAGGAGAATCCAGGTGACTCGGAAGCAAGCCCCAGGTTGAAAGCTTATCGCCAACCAGTTAAAGAGAATCCAAGTGACTCGGCTGCAAGTCCCAGCTGAAAAGCTTATCGCCAACCAATTAAGGAGAATCCAGGTGACTCGGCTGCAAGTCGCAGCTGGAAAGCTTATCGCCAACCAATTAAGGAGAATCCAGGTGACTCGGCTGCAAGTCCCAGCTGGAAAGCTTATCGCCAACCACTGGAGGAGAATCCAGGTGACTCGGCTGCAAGTCCCAGCTGGAAAGCTTATCGCCAACCAATTAAGGAGAATCCAGGTGACTCGGCTGCGAGTCCCAGCTGGAAAGCTTATCGCCAACCAATTAAGGAGAATCCAGGTGACTCGGCTGCAAGTCCCAGCTGGAAAGCTTATCGCCAACCAATTAAGGAGAATCCAGGTGACTCGGCTGCAAGTCCCAGCTGGAAAGCTTATCGCCAACCAATTAAGGAAAATCCAAGTGACACGGCTGCAAATCCCAGCTGAAAAGCGTATCGCCAACCAATTAAGGAGAATCCAGGTGACTCGGCTGCAAGTCCCAGCTGGAAAGCTTATCGCCAACCAATTAGGGAGAATCCAGGTGACTCGGCTGCAAGCTCTAGCTGGAAAGCTTATCGCCAACCAATTAAGGAGAATCCAGGTGACTCGACTGCAAGTCCCAGCTGGAAAGCTTATCGCCAACCAATTAAGGAGAATCCAGGTGACTCGGCTGCAAGTCCCAGCTGGAAAGCTTATCGCCAACCAAATAAGGAAAATCCAGGTGACTCGGCTGCAAGTCCCAGCTGAAAAGCTTATCGCCAACCAATTAAGGAGAATCCAGGTGACTCGGCTGCAAGCCCCAGCTGGAAAACTTATCGCCAGCCAATTAAGGAGAATCCAGGTGACTCGAGGTGACTCGGCTGCAAGTCCCAGCTGGAAAGCTTATCGCCAACCAACCAACCAATTAAGGAGAATTCAGGTGACTCGGCTGCGAGTCCCAGCTGGAAAGCTTATCGCCAACCAATTAAGGAGAGTCCAGGTGACTCGGCTGCAAGTCCCAGCTGGAAAGCTTATCGCCAACCAATTCAGGAGAATCCAGGTGACTCGGCTGCAAGTCCCAGCTGGAAAGCTTATCGCCAACCAATTAAGGGGAATCCAGGTGACTCGGCTGCAAGCCCCACCTGGAAAGCTTATCGCCAACCAATTAAGGAGAATCCAAAGGAGAATCCAAGTGACTCGGCTGCAAGTCCCAGCTGGAAAGCTTATCGCCAACCAATTAAGGAGAATCCAAGTGACTCGGCTGCAAGTTCCAGCTGGAAAGCTTATCGCAAACCAGTTAAGGAGAATCCAAGTGACTCGGCTGCAAGTCCCAGCTGGAAAGCTTATCGCCAACCAATTATGGAGAATCCAGGTGACTCGGCTGCAAGTCCCAGCTGGAAAGCTTATCGCCAGCCAATTAAGGAGAATCCAGATGACTCGGCAGCAAGTCCCACCTGGTAAGCTTATCGCCAACCAATTAAGGAGAATCGAGGTGACTTGGCTGCAAGTCCCAGCTCGAAAGCTTATCTCCAACCAATTAAGGAGAATCCAGGTGACTTGACTCGGCTGCACGCCCCAGCTGGAAAGCTTATCGCCAACCAATTAAGGAGAATCCAAGCGACTCGGCTGCAAGTCCCAGCTGGAAAGCTTATCGCCAACCAATTAAGGAGAATTCCAGGTGACTCGGCTGCAAGTCCCAGCTGGGAAGCTTATCGCCAACCAACTAAGGAGAATCCAGGTGACTCGGCTGAAAGGAAAGCTTATCGCCAACCAATTAAAGAGAATCCAGGAGACTCGGCTGCAAGTCCCAGCTGGGAAGCTTATCGCCAACCAATTATGGAGAATCCAGGTGAAGTCCCAGCTGGAAAACTTAACTCATCGCCAGCCAATGAAGGAGAATCCAGGTGATTCGGCAGCAAGTCCCAGCTGGAAAGCTTATCGCCAACCAATTAAGGAGAATCGAGGTGACTTGGCTGCAAGTCCCAGCTGGAAAGTTTATCTCCAACCAATTAAGGAGAATCCAGGTGACTCGGCTGCAAGTCCCAGCTGGAAAGCTTGTCGCCAACCAGTGAAGGAGAATCCAGGTGACTCGGCTGCAAGTCCCAGCTGGAAAGCTTATCGCCAACCAATTAAGGAGAATCCAGGTGACTCGGCTGCAAGTCCCAGCTGGAAAACTTATCGCCAACCAAGTAAGGAGAATCCAGGTGACTCGGCTGCAAGTCCCAGCTGGAAAGCTTATCGCCAACCAATTAAGGAGAATCCAAGTGACTCGGCTGCAAGTCCTAGCTGGAAAGCTTATCGCCAACCAATTAAGGAGAATCCAGGTGACTCGGCTGCAAGTCCCAGCTGGAAAGCTTATCGCCAACCAATTAAGGAAAATTTTAAGTGACTCGGCTGCAAGTTCCAGCTGGAAAGCTTATCGCCAACCAATTAAGGAGAATCCAGGTGACTCGGCTGCAAGTCCCAACTGGAAAGCTTATTATCGCCAGCCGGGAGGGCTTATCCTCAACCAATATGGGTTTCCGAGGTGTGGAAGCTCGAGCTGAAGAAGACGGAGGCAAGGACGAGGCCGTTAGGGCTTATCCTCAACCAATATGGGTTTCCGAGGTGTGGAAGCTCAAGCCGAAGAAGACGGAGGCAAGGGTGAGCCCGAGGGTCTTATCCTCAACCAATATGGGTTTCCGAGGTGTGGAAGCTCAAGCTGAAGAAGACGGAGGCAAGGACGAGGCCGGGAAAGCTTATCCTCAGCCAATATAGGTTTCGAGGGGCTTATCCTCAACCAATATGGGTTTCCGAGGTGTGGAAGCTCAAGCCGAAGAAGACAGAGGCAAGGACGAGGCCGGGAGGGCTTATCCTCAACCAATATGGGTTTCCGAGGTGTGGAAGCTCAAGCTGAAGAAGACGGAGGCAAGGACGAGGCCGGGAGAGCTTATCCTCAACCAATATGGGTTTCCGAGGTGTGGAAGCTCAAGCTGAAAAAGACGGTGTGGAAGCTCAAGCTAAACAAGACAGAGGCAAGGACACGGCCGGGAGGGCTTATTCTCAATACGGAGTCCCATTCAGGCGAACACTGAAGGAGACGGAGTCGCCGAAGGCGAGCCATGGAGTATCCGCGCTCGCAAGCGGGACAATTGCAAAAGGATATCAGAGAAAGAGGCCATCAATGAGCATGTAGTACAGCCAGACACATGCAGGTGTACTTGCTCCCAGCCGCTTATGAACGCAGCTCCTGTTCATTGAGCAATTCCTAGCCAGCGGTCCCCCTCGGAGAAGCTATGGCGACAGGGACAATCTGTTTCGAGAGATCAGAAGGTATACTGCGGTGCTGCGCCCGCACCTGAGGATGTGTCGCGGGAAACTACTTCTCATTTACTTGGCTTCGTTTACGCCAGGAGTGCAAGGAATATGCCCGATACTTGGGCATCGACCCCGGATACGAGGGAGAAGAGACACATAACGCGATGTTGTGCCCGAGCCTCGGACGCTCTACGAGTGAGGAGTCCTGATATGCCGTTTACCTTTATCGAGGCCCTCCCTGTGCACGCAGACTCGGGTTGTGTCCGTCGGAGCCTTAAGAAGCGCTCGTGATGTCTCTGCTGAACACGGTGGCGCTGCAGGCCCCGCCGCCGTGACAGAGCCGGGAAACCGGAGCGCGAAGCTCCGAGCCCGTTGGATAGCATCAAGAGCCAACTGGGCGTCAGGGGCCGAGCAACGCACGCCAAGCCAGCATCTGCCGACAGTGGTTGATGCTAGTTGCGCCAGGCCTGTGCCACCGTCGAAGAGAAAAGAAATCTTCTTAGGAAGAATGGATGGGCAGGCCAGCAAGCAAGAGCGAGACAACAGAACCTGCACACTGACGTGCAACCAGGATACATTTGGCAAAGGGTGCCGCGCGGCGAGTGGATACCTTGGTGGTATCTTTCAGACAGCATTTTCTTCTGGGAAGAGGATGTTTTCCAGGCCGGACCAGCACAACGAAGAAGAGTAAGCGGGCGCGTCCCTGCCACAGCACAGCCCAGGAGGCCACGGCAGCCATCTGAGCGCCAGGTCCGGCGATAAGAACCTCTTCCCTTGAGAGTCCAAAAGGTGCACGGGAAGCACTTGCATCACGCGCATGCACTCTTGGGGTATGCCCGATGACTACGAGCGACTCCTATCCGACGCAGCTGTTATCCAGCATTCAGTAGACACTTACGGGGAGATATAGCATGGTCTCAACCCGAAGAAGGCAGAGGCGGGGTCGAGGCCAGGGCGTTTATCCTCAACCAATATGGGGTTCCAGGCACGTGGTCTCAACCCGAGATGAAGACGGAGGCGGGGACGAGGCCGGAGCGCTTACCTTCAACCCACGTATACTCAAATCATGGGGTTTCAGGTGCATGGTCTCAACCTGAGAAGAACACGGAGGCGGGGATCAGGCTAGAGATATCTTCAACCAATATGGGTTTCCGAAGGGGGCAAGGCCGGAGCGCTTATCCTCGCCTAATATGGGGTCCCGAGCGCGTAGTCTCAACTCGAAGAGGACGCAGGCCGGGAGCAAGGCCGAAGCGCTTATCCTCGCCTAATATGGGGTCCCGAGCGCGTAGTCTCAACTCGAAAAGGATGGAAGCGGGGACAAGGCCGGAGCGCTTATCCTCAACCAATATGGGGTCCCAGGTGCGTGCTCTCACCCCGAGGAAGGCGGAGGCGGGGACGAGGCCGGAGCACTTATCCTCAAAAATATGGGGTCCCAGGTGCGTGGTCTTCGCTCGAAAAGAATGGAGGCGGGGACCAGGCCGGGGAGAGCATCCTCAACCAATATGGGGTCCCAGGTGCCTGGTCCCCACTCCAAGGAGACCGGGGCGGGGACGAGGCCGGAGTGCTTACCCGCAACCAATATGGGGTTCCGAGTGCGTGGTCTCATCCTGAAGAAGACGGAGGCGGGGGCAAAACTGGAGCGCTTATCCTCAACCAATATGGGGTCCCAGGTGCGTTACATCCTTGACCAATTAGCGTCCCTGGTGCATGGTGTCAACCTGAAAAAGACGGCGGCAGGGACAAGGCCGGGGGGCTTATACCCTCAACCAATACAGGAACTCAACCCCCCAAAAAGACGGAGGAGACAGGGCCGGAGCGCTTCTCCTCAACCAATATGGGGTCCCAGGTGCGTTATCCTCTACTGTAATGTGGCTCCCCGGCAGGTGGTGTCAACCGGAGAAACGCGGAGGCAAGGACAAGGCCGAAGCGCTTGTTCCGCCAATATGGGGTCCCAGGTGCCTGGTTTCAGCTTAAAGAAGACCGAGGCGGGGACAAGGCCGGAGCGCTTATCCTCAATTAATATGGGGTCCCAGGTGCGATATCCTCGACCGATATGGGGTCCCTGGTGTGTGGTGTCAACCCGAAGCAGACGAAGGCAGGGACAAGGCAGGAGGGTTTAGCTTCGACCAATTTAGGGTTTCAATTCAGCATCGGGTCGAACGAAGCCGGAAGCAGGAACAGGGACGAGTCACCGCTGCGCCTATCTTCAACCTGAGTCAGAGTTAGGAGGCGCAGCCAACACAAGTGCAGCACAGGCCGAGCCGGCCTCTCTCCAACGGAAGTGGCGGCCAGAAAACGAAACCAGCTCACTGTGGACGTATCGTGTATGATGTGCCACCGAATCTGCGAGCAAATAAATCTTCATCACCTGTTCAAGCGCCCGTCCGAGCAAGCCTGCATGCGAAGGTCTAGCACCGCACGTAGCTCTCCCGCAACAGCCATGGCAGGACATTTTCAGCCGGACCTAATTCGGCAGATGATTGCCCGCTTCATGGACGAGATTCGCAAAGTTCCCGTTCGTTTCGGCATACAACAACCACTCGAGTCGGCAGAGCTATCAGCGGACATCACGCACGCCATCGGACAGCTCTCGCGGCACATGCACCTCGATGAAACGGACTCACAGTGGCTCATGTATCTGGCATCGCACCTCGAGCCTGAACTCGGAGCAACGCTCATTCCTGCGCTATGGAGACTCAAGGAGGATGTCATGATGTGGACGGTACGCTGCCAGCGACCTCGAGAGCCTTCGCCCTTCAGTCTGCCACCTGCAACAGCCGAGAGCGGAACCGACGGAGCCTGCGCGGCGCAAGCGCCAGCGTGGAGGAAACGGCCATGCTCCGCCAGCCCCCAACATCTCGGTCCACGAACAGTGCCCGATCTGAATATGGCATGCTTCTCTTCGGTCCTTCCCAGCTCCAGCAGCCTGTGACCAGGAGAAGAAGATTACTTAAGAGCTACGAACGCCATCGTCGGAGGACAGTCCGTGACCCCGAGTGCACCTGTTTGACGGAGCAGAATCAGAGTCACCTCTGCAGGAGACCGGCGCGCGGTCCCAGACTGCAACGGCTGTTTCAACGATCCAATTCCAACCGAGCTGCAACGCAGAAAAGCAGGAGCTGATGCGAACCGGCAGTCGCACGACCGGACACTCTTCACCGACGGTCTGAATAATTAGAGTGATAGTGACAATGTCAGCATGCAATCCAGGAGTCTCAATCCAACCATCGTCCCAGCGCCACGATACACCCCGTGAGACGTCTGATCAAGAGAAGCCCCTGCTAGTTCACGTAGACCCGATATGATGATCGCCATCACAATGATGTTCTGGACCTACGAGTACAAGCACATCCGGCCAAGCGGAAGGATTGCGCGCCACGGGGAACGGCTGACCCTCTGTCTCTTCATTGCGGTCAGCGACGACCAGCCCCAGGGCCGCACAACAGCATCGTAGCTCTGAAGCGGACCCCGCTCACGGCCCAGTGTAACGTACACATCCCTGTACACCCACGTGCGAATACATAGAAGGAAGTAATCAGTAGTGACACCCGGTGCCCAGGCATGCGAGAGCATCGCCCTACTGTATCTTTACGACCCGCTACGGCACGAGCACCAATGCCCATGGAGGTTGGTATCGCAAGCGCGTCGGCTCCTTCACCAAGATCACGCCACGATTCAACATCATGGGACCGGGATACATAAACGCCCGGTTGTATCTGTACGGAGTCTTGGCTGCACCCCAGCAGTGCATGTCCATGAGCGACGAGTTCGACGCCCACTTCCCATCCCCCCACACACCCAAGCGCAGCATAGGTGAATACGGCACCTACGTCGGCATGCGCCCCAAGAAGAAGGATCACGACATCATCCTGCAGTTTCGAGACTACTACTGTGAGACGATTCGAGTCCGACGTGCCACAGCCATCTGAAGCAGCGCATACCAGCGCGATGACAGCGGCTGGAAGAAAAGCTGGTGCATGGCCGCTGCCGTGTTGCGTGGACTGGAAATCCACAGTCCGACGAGCTGTGAGGATGCATGCACGACAAACGCATATCAAATCGCTTGCACGCAACCGACCGCAGTGCTAAAATCATCAACTGTGCTACGGCACCAGCCCTAGCGAGCCGCAGCCGCGAAGCCCCGTGCGATACTAACAGCCATGGCTCTCTCTCAGGACATGCAGGTGCAGAAGAAAAGGCGCTTCTCCGCGATCGACATCACGCCGTCCCGGAGCAACGGCACCGGCGACGCAGAAGGCAACGAGCTGACGGCAGTAGTAAGAAGGTGGGGGAGCGCCTTCACTGTGTTCGAAGGTGCGGATCGAGACACTCCCCTGTGGCAGCTCCAGATCTGTCACACCGGACGGAATTCTTTCGGGTACCAGGTGCTGGCAGTTGCCAGAGAAGCGGTGCAGAAACATTCCAATCCCAACGTCCGGGATCTGCAACAACTGGAGTCGATCCTCCAGGTGCGACTCCTGAACGGGGCGCCGCCCCAGAATGGTCCGCTGGACCCGGACGGGACAGGGCTGGAAGCTTGGCAAGTCGTTCTGTACTCAACTTCGGTATCAGCTGCATTGGACTTCGTCCAACTGGTGCTGAGCCACAAGGTCACCAAGGGACACTTGCTGCAACTGCCCCCCCTGCACATCGCAAGTCCAGACGGCACGGTGGACACGGTGCCTCATCCCTGGAAGTCGAGTCACTATCCGCTACACGGCCCGAAAGCCTTCGCAGCACTGCCTCCAAGAGGACGCCGCCACGTTTTGTGCCAAGTCGAGCTTCGTCAGTCTGCGGTCAAAACGACCAACAGCCAGGATTCGGGACAGGCAGAGGAGACGAACATGGACATCGAAGCCGACGACAACGCGAAGGCCATCTACGCAGTCAGCATTTTCGGAGGCATTTACCCGTACCGCGAACTCTTCGATGCGGCCAACATCTCCGGTGGACACATAGCACAGCCGGACGGCAATCGCGACTACGTGCGCTTTCTGGAAGTTCACAACGACGACCAAGGCAGGGACAGATTGAAGTCGTTCTTCGAGCAGATCTTGCTCCACGTACCCGTGTACCTCATCGACTCCACCCAGACCCCTAACGACGAGATGGTGTCCTGGATCGGCAGCCTACCCTCGGTGGAGCTCGGAGAAACGAGCTCCTGAGGATCCTCGCTCAGGCTCCCTGTACAGACCTTCCTTGCAACGTGCGGCGCGGCGCACTGCACAGAGCCCGCCCTTCGGCAGACGGAAGAGAGACCAGTCCGCGACCGACAGCAAAAAGAAGACATGGCGGCGTGGATCATGACGTTGCCCGAAAGGGGTTGCAGGGTGAAGCCGTGACCAATGAATACTCAGCACGCGCAGCATCCCGAGACCTCGAGCCAAGGTAACAAGACCCCAGCCCTCCAGCCCAACTGCCGTGGTGCCGACAGCATGCATACCGCCAACGGCTCGACCCTCGCTCCGAGCGCCGCCAACAGCCTCGCCGACGCATTCAAGAGAGCAGCACACAGCGCGGAGGAGATCCCGTTGCCGACTGTCGTGGACCAGGACGGGGATCTTAGACGAACGTTTCCTGTTAACAACAAGCACAAATCCTCGGCACCAGGATGAGGTGGCGGAAGCCACCGTTCCCGACACGTGCCCAAGAGACACACCATCGGGCCTAGCCGACGACGGGCGCGAGGTCCAGGCGGGTAAGCGGGCTACACATAATCGATCGCCCTCGGTCAGGACTCGCCGCAGACGTTAGGTCGGCCTGATTCTGGTGTAGACTCGAGGCAAACACTCAGACGAAACGGTGCCAAGGAACCAGGGCTCGCATCAGAGAACCGGGGTCCAACACACCAACTTGGATGCAAGGTATGCGAAGAAGGAGAGAGGACGGGCGACCTGCCAGGCAACGGCGCTATGTGCTCTCGACGCGAAGGTCCTGTGCCTGAGGAGGGAGACAGAATCATGGTCATGAAGGAAGCTTGGTTGCAGCTCGTCATGAACCGTTTGAAGACTCTGGAGATCCGCGGTGCACCGGCTGCGTTAGGGAGAACTTGGCTGGGCTGCAATGGCCAAATTCACGGAGCAGCCAACATCGTCAACTGCAGCATCATCACGGAGGCAGACTTCCAAGCCACAAGAGCGCAGCACAGGCACTTGGGAGAAATGCCCAACTACAAGAAAACGTACGCCCTGGCTCTGCAAGATGTGACGCAGCTCGAGCCAAGCATCGACTACTATCGGCTGCCAGCCACATCACCGTGGGCGGTGTTTCGCACCGGACCAACTGGCAAGGCGCGTCGGTCGGGGGCGCAGAAAAGAACCTTGGAGCAAGCTCATGACACGAAGCCATGCGAAGACATGCCGACGGAGCTCCGAGCCGATGGCAGCCCGTTGCCGCTGACATCCGGCATGGCGGACCAAGAAGAGCCTTCGCTCGGGGCAGGAGACCGGACGGACGAGCATGACGACAGGAACAAGGAGTGAGGTGGAGCAGCCTCACAGCAAAGGACTCGTCGGAATGACGAGGGGACCTATTGAAGCCTGTTTCAGGAAAGACCAATGCGGCCTGCGCAGAAAGACAGCCATGCCGCTAGGACCCTCACGGATAGATCATGCAAGCACGAATCATGAGTGCCGCATCACATAGCATCGCCGCAACGAGTCGCCTGGTTCTGCCACCCAGGGCCCGAGCAGCTGCCAACGAGCCATGCTGGTTTTCTCGGGCAGACAGGCCTGGGCGGACGTGCAGGAGCCCAGACTCGAACACGCAGCCACGTTGGCGCGATATACAGTGCCGTTGCAGACAGGACCACGACCGCGCCGACGAGGAGGGGACGCGGTATGCTCGGAACGGATCTGCTTACCTCAAGCAACAGACGGAAGCCCTGCAGACACTGCAGGACCCAGCGGCCGGCGCACCGCCGAGGCAGGACCACTTCGAGAATCAAGGAGAACACCGTCGCCACCTCGTCCGACCGAAGCCAGTATTTACTTCGAATGGACAATCTCACGCCGTAAAATGCTACGATATCTGAATGCAAGGCAGCAGCGACCTACTCTCCCCGAGAACGACACGCCCAGATACAGAGTCGCCGCTACCATGGATGTTGGAAGGCCGTTATAACGGCACCGAATACAACGGCACGACGGATGCCGCAGAAACAACTTTCGACACCGGTCCGCCGCTCAGTGCAGTCAGTCCTTAAAGCCGGATTGCAGGCACCAGCACGATCATGCGCAAGAGACCGTACCCAGGCGAGACGCAACTGAATCTCGAGCTAGCAGAATTCGTGCAAAGCGCCCTGTCTCGTCGCTGGGGGCCCGAAGCACTGCAGGACTGGCAAACCAGCATGCAGCGCCGCTGCCTCCGGCATCGTTTCCCTTGTCGACTCTGGTATGAGTTTATCTACGAATGGCGAGTAGAAGCGGAGCCAGCAGACCCACACACCCCGACCGGCTTCGGAAATCCGACGGTACCGGGCCCAGCCGCGACGTCGTCAGCGCAACAGACGCTGTGCGACATTCGAGTACACGCAGCGCCCATCATCCTGATAACATCCCAGCCGACCACGGCACAACCCGTCACAGGGCAGCTGTCCGTACAGATTCGTAGACTGTGAGATAGGACCAGAGAAAAGTAGAGAGCTAGCAGACTTCAACATCGCCGTCCGCGCTGGCAGAAACAAGAATCGTGGTCGCGGCCTGCAGCTGAGTATCAGACAGAAGCAGCTGCAGCCATAGGATCATCAGGAGCATTTAGTCCGGGGCGCACACCATGGCCATTCTCCTGTATTTTCTGGAAGCAGAGTGCGGCGTGCTGCTACGGCGGATGCTGACGCCAGCGGAGGTCCTCCTTCTGCTGCAGGTCGGCAGGTCCTCGAACATGAGAAGACTGGCGTGGGCCCGAGCCGTTCTGGCAGATGTGGCCAGGCTAGGAACCCTTGAGGACCATGCGACTGCGTTTCCCCGGCTTCTGAGCATCAGGTGCACGAAGGGCTGGACTCCGCCAAACCCCTCGGACCCACTGGAGACCTTGGGTCCCGTCGAGGATCTGCTCTATTGGTTGGACGACTTCGGGCTCGGAGGGTTCTCCCCCGCCGAAGCGGTGCTGGTGATGAACGCGTGGCCGATGCAAACAAGGGACGCGGGCGCGGCTTTGAGCGACCTGTTGGAAGAATCGGACAGCCACTTCTTCTACTCGGCCAGGCCTGCCGCCTTCCGAGCGCAATTCCGACCTACTCTAGTAAACGTAGTCGTCTTTTTCACTTTCAGAGGACTGAACACCGTCGTCAACGACGGGTTTGACACATAGACAGACAGTTGCCGGAGGGGAAGCGAGTCCGAAGCGACCACGAGCGACGGCATTCCACGCGACAGACGAAAAGGAAGACAGACTACGCGTTCCAGATGATGACTGCAGGAGCAAGTCCGAAGTCGACTCTATCCATCTGCGTCTGTTCTCGAGTACAGTGCATGTCGCAGCCGCTTCAGCGTCAATCAAGAAAACACGCGCAGGCTCCACTCGGATTCCGTCGCCTTCCATGTCGGGCATCGACTACTCCAAGTGGGACCTACTTCAAAGCAGCAGCGACGAAGAGGACTTCGGGAACCCCATCCCGCCGCAGTCTCCGCGACAGCCCATCACGACAGGTCCCTGGGCGGTGGCCGATCCCTGGCGCAAGTGCAATCCGCTAGTGCGACGTGAAGTGCTCAGAGAGGAGAAGATTCTCCACAGGTTCGTGCAAGAGCACCCCTGTCCATCCGAGAAAAGCCTCCGGCGCTGGCTTCGCAGCATGAGCGGCACGGAGAGAATCGTTCCCGGAGAGCTGACGTTTGCATGGGTGATGAAAGACATGGGGTGGAACTCCGAGCACTTGGCGTGGTTCCACTACCCGTCCTTCCGGGAGCTCTGGCAGGCAGCGGCCTTGCAAACGGCCGAGGCCTTCACGGTCCAACGCAATGCGGGCAGCACCCTGTACCAGCGCGGCGGCAAGGAGTGCATGCAGTTCAACTTCTATGCGCTGCAGCACGCCATGTGCGGAGAACATTTTCACACGGACGCCCCACTCCCCGTGTACTCGTACGCGAAACGCCTGGAGCACGTCTGGGACGGGATCGGATCATGGCGAGCGTAGTGAACCGCGCCTAGCGTATAGCTCGGCTAACAGACCAGAGCGGCGACGACTGCCGCGAGAAAGCAGGCAAAAAGTACACATACCCCGATGCTTCAAGTCGTGAGCGGACCTACAGAGCGTCAAGACCAAGTTGGAATTCGAGTCGGCCCGAGCCAAGCAGAGATCCGGCTAGCATAAACCGCCCGAACCCCGGACGACCACCGCCAACGGCCTGGCATAGTCCAGCAAGCCTGCAGCTGCCATGTCGTCCAGAAAAGACCACAGAGATGTGGAGCAGAGCACCGAAGACACCGAGGCTCGGACACGGCCCATCCCGTTATCCATGTCTACATGCAACAACACGCCTGTCTGCCAGGCAACGGATGCCTGCCAGAAAGTACGAGAATTCCTAAGTGCACATCTCTTCCGAGCATGGTGCAGCGCCAATGTGAGCAACTGGAACTATGCGGACGTTCCGGGCGTCTCGGGGATCGCACCGGAGCAAAACCAGTGCCCATCGGAGGAAACTGTGCGTCAACTGCTGCCCGGCATAACCGAAGAAGACAAGACACCCGAAGGCTTCGACTATTGCATCTACCGACTGCTGTGGCCGAGACGAGACTTAACGGCAAACACCGATCTGACCCGTCTCGTGACAATCTTCAAAACCGTGATGGCACAAGGAGGCCAGCGCAAAGCGTGCCTGTACATCAACCTGTTGTACAGCACCGGGGCCAGTAGTGCGGACCATTCAGAGAGGTCCGACCCTGCTATAGGACGACTACGGTACCGGGAGCGTCTCTGGACGGCCAGTCAGATCGCAGACATCATCCTAAAGACCATCTAGTTAGCGGCGTCAGCATTCCATAGGGCACAGCAGCTTCACCGACTTCGCAGGAGCAAAACCGAGCGACCACCGCACCACACGAGCATCGGGCATGTAGCATGCACACTCCTCTGACAGCTGTGGGCTCGAACCGGACACTTCAAAGTATACTAGAAGGCTTCCCGTTACCGGACCCAAGTACAGGCGGAAAGCAGCCATGTCGTTGCGCGACGTTCTTGCCAGCTCCAAGGAGAACGAGGACCCCAACGAAAGCCAGGCACGATCAAGCGCGATGCTGTAGTATTGCCTCCACGAACAACCATGAATCCGTGCGATACCCCGTCCCGTGCACCCGACAGGCCGTACGCTCTTTCAGATGTCTGCAAGAGTTCCTTTCCGTGCACATGTTCCAGGCCTGGTGCGACGCCTATGTGGAGAATGCAACTTACTCAGACCTCTGCGAAGATCCGGATGTGGATCCCATAGAAACCCAGATGCCGACGGAAGCTGTCATGCACCGGATCATCAGCGATAACGTCCCAGCAGAACATATGCGCAGAGCCTTCCAGTACAACTTCTTCGAGCTGCTCTGGCCCAAGCGGAACATCTCGTCGCTGGACGACATGACACGCCATGTCCTGACATTGGCAGCTCTGCTGGCTGAAGGCGGTCCCAGCGCCGTGCGCCTGCACATCGATTTGGTGTATCGCACCGTACCGGGCGGCCCAGAATATCCCAACGAGTGCAGCCCCGTGGCAGCTCTGCGGTATAGGAATCGCCTTTGGGCAGCCAGTGAGATCGCCAAGATCCTGCTGGAGAGCGTCTGAGACCATGTTGCCAATTGTCCAGGGCACCGCCGCCTCACCCGATGCAGACACAGAGCGGAGCAAAAACAAAACTGGCACATGCATCGAGCAACACAGCTGGGCGATGACGGAACTGCTGGCCATGACACTCATTCGCCAATCTCCCTGCAGCCACTTCGGCTGCGTGCGACACCGGACACCGATCCCTCCGCCTACGGTATGGCCTGCCCGACCAGTTTACTCGCCCTCAGTCTGTAAAGAGTTCGGTGTTACCACGTCTCCAGGTCGCCACGACAGCCACGAGGCCGCACTCATGAGTAGCCCGTCGTGGCCAGCATAGACAACTCGGCACCAGTCCAGCTTTATGAGATGATTAGGGAGCTACACAGCCAGTTTACAGGGATTTATATTATTGCGAAATGGTTGCGGTATGGTTGCGAAATCTTTGCGTTAGGATTTTGCGTTATGGATTTTCCCGGTTTTTTGGGTTGCGAAATGTTTGCGAAATGTTTGCGAAATCTTTGCGTTATGGTTGCGTTTTTTTTGCTCTCCAAATTTTGGTTTGGGCCCGGCATTTCGCGAAATGTTTGCGAAATCTTTGCGTTATCTTTGCGTTTTTTTTGCGTTTTTTTGGTAACTATTGGGGAATATTGCGAAATCTCTGCGAAATACTGTAGTTTCATTCTTTGTTTGCAGTTTGTGTGGAAATATTTGAAAGAGTCTTGCGAAAACCATAGG